CTCACTCGTCATGTGCAATATTATACAAATCGAATGATGCATGTTCCAACGTTTCTAGGTTTCCTAAACACGTCTCCGAATTTGGGGCAACTCTCAATATTTATTTCCCTGCGTCAACTCGCTGCAAAAAGTAAAAACACACGCGGACTAGTGACCTAAAAATCAAGCTAACTCGACCAATTTTATCTTGTCCCGTGGTTTACAGAAACACAATGTCGTTGTTTCTTTGTACGGTCAACGAAGAAACTTCGGGGATTTTGGTATGAAAACATATTCACTATTATCGTCGAATCGTCACGACAAAATTTTATTTGGTCGCTGCTTTATCGATTTTTGACAGACGTAAATTAGGTTTATTTAGTTCCTTATATTTATCGTTAAACTTAATACCGATGTGATCAAGCCATTTCATATTTAAAAATACGAAATTAGAGATTTTGTGGCTTCCACGGTTCAACGTGAGTTTTTCTTAGAGTTTTGTAAATTACGGGAACCAAAAAAAGTAAAATAAAATATTATCTTTTTACTTATCTAAGGAAAACCTTAAGTGTCCGCTACTAGGGAAACTCTTCCTATATTTCTCGAAGAACCATCTCGTAAAATTGTCGCTCGAAGTAAGCCCGCGTAGCATACAATACAGAGAAAACCTGATCCTCGAATTCTCCGTGTATGTTGCGCCGATTTTTGGTCGATCGACAAATCTCGCGACTGGGTACAAACTCAACTTAGTCCTAAATATTTGTCTGGTAGAGACGCGCGTGAACACGGTAGCGTAGAAGTACAGCAGCCTAGCTTCCGGCATCCGAGCGGAATTCCGGGTCGAGGTTTTGTCGTAATATTCGGGTCACAGTGGATCCGAACCGCGGCGAAATACGTTGCTTCTTATCCAAGAATCCAACGAAAACCGTGCGGGTGCTGTTCTCAACTTCGTGCCACATAAACGTTTCCAGTTATTCGGGAATCGTGTTTACGGCTGGCGAAAGGAATGCCATTGGATAAGCGAGGGGAGGTTACGCTTTCCCCCGTTGTGTTGATGGCGCTTGTAAACGAGCTATTCGCGTATTACCGCCGCGATACCGCGTTCGACTCGTTGTATCCACGAATTTCCCTATCTTTCTATTGACCCTCACGTTACAGAGGATAGACTGGAAATGCTGATGCAGCCGAACGTGTTCCCCCTGCGTCGAGATAAATTGAACAGGTAAAATGAATTCACGGGGGATGAACACGAAGTAGAATGAAGAGTAATTAACTAACGTGAACGGTTTTTTTTTCGGCTGGAAGGAAGAATTTTTTAACGACCTGCAACTCTAATTAGATCATTTCATTTCAATCGAGTATGTTCGTGTAATATCAAATATAGATATTAGAATTACTTCATAATTGTACAATTTATGGAAGAACTTTGTTTAAATAATGGGGAATGTGGATAATATGTGTATAATATTTACTAATCAAATCGTTTTTACTATAGGAGTTTTTACACAAAATTGTCCTGTTAATAGATTTCAATAAAATAATAGTAAAACGGATGTCTGTCTGTTACTACTTGTCTGATCAATGGTTGATCAATTCCACTTAAAAGAACAAGTACTGTTACATTGCTTGATTTTTGTCAATCCTTGCAATGGAAGTCTGTAGTTCGTATCTTTTAATTTTGTTCAATAGTTATTTTAATTGGAATGTACAGAATTGGAGTGTAACAAGGTACTATAAACTGTTCTATTTTCATGAATCAAACCATAAAAATGATTATATTTTTTTGATATAATTATTACGTGTCACTAAATATCGATCACAGAAATATGTCTTTTAAAATTGATAATTTCACAAAAATGATATAATTCGTTTGATACTATATTAAATACAATAAAGTAAATTTTCAAATAATTTGAAGAAAAATGGGAAGTGTAGAATAACTATTGAAATTGCTTCGAAGGAATAGGAACTAGATTTTAATCGTTGAAAACTGAGAATCTGTTAACTAGAATTATTGAAGTGTGTTTGCAGTCCAGGATGATGAAGGAAGGGTATAAAAATTCTGCTTTATACTGGCGTCTCATAAAAGGAGGTAATGGCTGTCGTAAAAAGTTTCGTCCGAAAGTATCCACGTAACGTGTTTTTATTATATTATAAAAAAGTGCTGTAGCATAGAAGCTACGAGATAATTCAAGAAATCCACGATTAAAATCAATCTTATTCTGCACTACTTCAGAAAAACGTCTAAAAATTGGAGAAATATTACAAACTATATTACAATTGTAAGAATAATCAAAGGACTTAATATTCGTATAGTTATAACAAAATGAAATAACAGGTATCTTTAACACAATTTTTATAAAAAACACGTAATTATTTATATAACCGTGAATATTATTATGAAATCGATCCAATAAAAAATCTTCTGAACTTATTGTAATCAAGTTGAATGTAAGTCTTCCCAATAAATTATCAGACCGGAACTTCTAGACACTTGCTTGCTTGAATATTTCCATGCACTATCATGTATTCAAGAACGGAAACTTCGAAACTCGAAAACCAACGCTCCTGTAGTTACTTGTCCAACAAGACTTCACTACTTTCAGAGCCAAGTTTTGTTTCAGCATAAAATACGTTTTAATCCATGAACAATGATCCTTTAAAAGAAATCTTCTATTCAGTGAAACAAGTGAATTATGTATTACTCGCAAATAACAAAGAAACAAAGATGTCACTGTGAAGTCGTCAACGTAATGAGAAAACAGAAAATCATGGGAGCATAAAAGCCAGTATAACTCAGTAGATCATCAGTTCTCATAGTTTTTAGACTTTTTCGTTGTCGTCCCTATATCGAGGATAATGATATTACCAGAATGCATTTCGTTTTTGCCGTGAAACGAGCAAAAATCGTACTCCATTCGCGTTGGATCAGGGATTTTCTTAAACCCACAAATTGGTTCTTCGAAAAACTCCGCTGTTCCGGGCATAAAGGTCGCGGAATCGACGAAGACAACAGTACTAAACCGGCCCCTATTAATTTCTCTGGTCCTTTCGTAGGTTGGTCGTTTGTCACTGTCAGACGATACTATTAACCCGGATGCCGGTGCGCGCTGTTTGATCGGGAAAATTATTGCGGCTGCATGTGGAATTGTCACGGAACAGGTAGCCTTCATGAAAGACTGCCTTTATCATGATACCACCGTAGCATGTGCCAGCGAACTTCAAAGCTCTATCGGACCCGTGATATTGAAATAGAAATTTATTCATAAAAACTGCAAAACTGATACAGACGACGGAACTGACACAAGCAATACTTCCATACTAATTCAAATGAATTCAATTGATACGAAATTGAAGTAGAGACTCAGTTCTGGATAAATGTAGTTAACATATGCTTAATACAATATTATTTGTATAAATTCGAATTATGTAAAATGATAATTCAAATGTAGATAAAGTATTCTGTCTGACCCCTCAAGTACTTATACAGGGTGTTCATAGTAAGGGTATCAAAAAATTTCAAACCACTTACATCACGTTCAAGGGGGTGGGATTTTGATATAGAAAATGAATCAATTTTTAATTGGCTATAGATTATATCAGTTGTAAAGGAACTCACGACAAGTTCAATGATATGAAATAATTTTACATGGTCTTAGATTGAAAAGACTGGGCAATGTTCGGAAGTAAGGGGTAAAGTATTAACAAGACACGATAGACCGAGATAAGCAGTAAAATTAATTAAGTTTGGTAAATATCATGTTTACAGTTGTAGTATTATATTGTGATTGAAGCAATCAGTTGATTTAGGAGAAAACATTTTACTTTTCGCTTCATGTACGTATTAGTTTTATTACTTATTTGTAATAAGCTTATTTTTTATAACACTCACTTATTGCTGATCCTTATTCCTTACAATGATAAATTTGCAACATTGAGGCAACAGAAGGATTACGCACCATGGATATACTGAATATGTTTTCTTTAAACGTACCTATAATTTTAGAAGTGTAACGAGGACTGAATTGCAATTTGAAAGAACTAAATTTAATCTCTAAGAATGTTCCCCAGGGTATCGTTCAAGTAAAGTGTTCCCTGCATTTCATTCCCTGAATTCAGAAAAAAATGACGAGTGTCCATTTAATTTGAAGAAAAGCAATAGGACATCCCCTTAAGGTGAAACGACGTAAAAGCAGGTACGATCGTCATTCCGTGTTCGCGAGACAGCGACAAGGATCGTTACCTAAAAACGTGGCGTGCATCCAAATTGGCAAATGTCCGACGCGCCCGTAAACAGCGGGAACAAGCCTCGCGGATCCTTGATTATTGTTAGCGCTAAACATTCTCTGGATCGCACCGAGTCCAACTGTCTCATACTAAACACCCATTTACATGTTGTCGAGTCCTTCCGAGATTTCTCGTCCAACTTCCCCCATCTTCGTTCTCTTCCCTCGAAACAAAAGGAAAATCTAGTTTGCGAGTTTATAGAGTGCCCGTTAGTTCCGTGAAACGACTCGCGGCTCGATGTCGCCGCGCAAAGATAGTCCTTTTCAGTCACTGGAGAACAGTTTCACTGGTGTGTTGCCCCGATCGACACGAGGATTATCTACGGATACAAAAAAGAAGCCGAGAACACTGATCGCTGTTTAGACACACCGCAAGTTTAACTATTCTTCGAGCTGCAGGTGATCCACTAGAGTCGTCGAGATAGGTGTTCATAGAGAGAACGAGTAGTTTGGAGTCCAGCTGGTCACCAGCCTCGAGGTATACAAGAGTTTTCTTCGCCTTGGAACTTCCTTGACGGCCGTTGACCTGCCTGCTCCCTCGATCGATCGGTTAAAAGGAAGATCGGGGGTGATATATAGGGGATCGCAAGGTGGTTACTGTTGATTCAGACGATTCTTCCTTTCATTCCCTCTTACCTCTGTCCCCGACTGTCTGCTCTGTGTCTTTGCCTCGATTATATAAAGGAAAAACGACCTTTCATTGCGTTCTTATTGAAATGCTCCGTGATCGACCAGTCACCTCGTGAACGAACCGGCGTGCAGAAGCAACAGGAGCAACGCGAGCGTTCTCGTCGCCGCGCCGCTGTTGCTCGAATTCCCATGCTGCATCGCCGCGGGATGCTCCCCTGAAACAAGCAGTGGCGGCAGATGTTAAGGCAGGAACTTGAAATACGCATTAGAGAGATTAATAGAGATTTCTTTTCAACCGAATATATAAATGCATAAATGTATTCAAAATGACGTTCACCAGGACAAAAGTAATCGCCATCAGAATTCACTATCAGAACTATTGTTACTTTTACTATCACATTCAACACCAATTGGTGTAGATCTGACAATACATCTGTAAAAATTTCCACGTTATATTCAACAGACTAATGTTCGATGTTTGACTGTCCCCTTATTACTGAAAGAAATATCTCATACGGTAACCCATTAAGTATAGAAAACGTGAATTGTCGTCTTCCGTCATCAACGATTCAAAAACAAAAGACGCAGATTCAGGTTTCCTTCTAACAATGTGTTAAGAATAACTTAATGCTACATTTAATATGTTTTTAGTGATGCTGTCAACTGTAAATATGTTGACTAGTCACATTGTATTCCTTTCATTTTCTTACTCTTATTATTGAGAATTGATCGGCTGTTGTACGATTCTTTTTGACCGAGTTATTCAACTTTAAATCAGAAATCGTCTTTCTGACTTTAATTGCTTCTGGGAATCGAAAGAATCACCGCAGAGAGTTCAGCAAGGAAACTATATAAAGGTCAGTCTTTCTTCTTGAAGAAACATTGTGTACTTTTTTGATTTGATTGACATTTCGTTGTACCAGGCCCTTTCGAAAATAGGCTTAAAAATTGCACATATTCAATTTCTTTCTTTAACTCACTGTATCTCGGCAAGGGATGACCTCAATTTATCAGGGAATGCTATAAGTGCATAAATATAATAATTTGAAGTACAGTAGTGTCTCGATGAGTGCGACGTAGGTACTCGGGTCCGCTGCCGAGCATTCATGGCAAGGCGGAAAGGTTTTCAGCCCCTCATAAATTTGTTTTTTACCCGAAGCCCAGCCTCTGCTTAGTTTCTGTTTACTCTATTTTGATTGATTCCAGAAGGGGATCCCCGAGTGGTGGGAATAATGCTGTTGCTCGTGTTGCATTCATCGAGGGATCACTGTAACCCTAAATATTCATGAATATTTTCATTCAACGTTCATTCGAATATTTCAATTTGAAATGCAGCATTACTTCATGATTAGGCCTAAGGAATAATTCATAAATATAGATATCTGGACTTGAGCTGCTCCTCACTTGTTCATCGACCGCCGTCGTTCTTCGCATTTATGCGTGTTCCCTGGGTTCATGCACAGAGCGCCCCGGGCGACGCCGTGGCATTTCTGTCATGCGTGCATTCTTGTCCGTTAAATACGCCAGGACGGCCCAGAATGCGGAGAAAATCGGCTACCAGGGATAAGCCCGCTGAATTGTTCACGGAATGGCAAACCTAGGAGCAGGCGTGCACGTGTGCACATTATCAATTTGAAGCTAGGCTGCCGCGTTCCACTTTACACGCTTGCCTCGAAAACTTTTTGGGGGAAATAGTTTGAGGAGCTCGCGTCGCTATTGAGCAAAGCCCTCGGAATTGAACGGGGCGAGCCTCCTCTGTTAAGCAAAATCGAATTTCTGTGGGGTTTCGATTGAAAGTTATGCGGCTGCGTATTTCACAAGAAAATTTCGTTTTGTGCTGGAAAATTTGAACGTACAACTATTTACGGCAAGCGTTTCAGTATCCAAGAGCCACGAGCTTTATTTGGATTTGCTGCTTTGCCCAGGATATTCGCGGATTCTGTAACTACCATTCTTCTATGGGTGTAAAAGTGGGACTAGTGCGAATTACAACCATTGTTATTACGGCTACGATAATTATTGTCATTTCCGTATTAGTACATTCAACTAATAATAGATATTCGGTAAACAGCAGTAGGAAATTTTAAATGTTTTACTTTCCATTTCTCACCAATAAAGTCTTAAACATCTTATTAGTGCCTAATATATTTGTAAGACAAAGTGATTAGCATGGTTATTAGAACAATAATGTGAACTAAAAATATCCAATCATACTGTATTTGAGTGTCACAAAACTGTAGAACATGTTTTTGTTACAAATGTTCGTAATGACAATCATTTCGAAACATGGTATAATTGTTTTGTAACTAAATTATTTTGTCTCGTATAAATGTATTATGACTATTTCAAACAAAAGTTCAGTCGATTAAAAATTGTTGAGACATTCCAGCGAATACATGAACCCCACATTGGTTGAAATATTAATTTTATAATTTGCTTTAGTAATCGAATTTGAAGTTTATTTTCGATGCTGAAAATCGACACGATTTGTTGGAGCCTCATTATACGCAAATAAGTTTGCACTGATTTAGTATGAGCGTAAATCAAAACACTTATAACTGTTACGTATCACTAATTATGATGTATAAACCCGTATACCTGTTCTATTCGTTACGTTCTGTGTAAATGATCGCTTTCATTAAGTTTCATACTGTTGTAATACACGTGTGAATATTTATTGATAACGGTAATTGTAGGAGTTAAATTTGAATTTGAATGCTGTTGAATCTCTTACTACCGAGCAACATTTTACTTTGCAGAATAAATCATATATTATCTTATAGTAATATTAATTTACGTATTCATGTTTCCAGCAAGTAGAATCAGTAACTAATGAACAGACATGTCAGAAGCTGTACTCAATAACACGTGTATCCAAGACAATTTCAAAATTATTTCCTTCGATAACAAAGACCAGTTGAAACACAATTTATTCTGAACTTTGAACTTATTTTTTCATGAAAAATTGTATCCTTATTATGGAGCTGCACCACTAATAACGGATTACGATGTACATATTACGATATACATATAGAAATATGCAGTTATACAAGCCGTTTCAAAGTTGAATACGTACAGTAAGAGGTTTGAAAAGTTTAATGGGAATTTCATTGTATTTGGAACTAGATCAAACTCCTTGAAAATTGAATACCTCTGCTTAACTCTATGAAGAGGATTAGACCAAAGTTTTAGTTTCTAGAAAGTGGACTATAAAAACGTAAATCTGAATGAACATCTGCAGTCTATTTAATAATATATTCCAGGAGAAAATTTGCAGACGAAATGTCGTACACTCATAGATACGAAAACACTTTGTTAAATTGTTATCAGAAATATCTTGAACGTGAAATCTATAGGGACTGCATTCATGGTATTTTCTCTTGATCATGCGTATTCGCGCATACACTCGCCAATATACGTTATATCGGTCATATTTAATGATTTAAGTAGGTCACATAACACTCCACGTAATGACCTAATTAGATTGAATTAAAATCAGTATTTATTCGCTAATTCCACTCAAAGCTACTCAAACTTCTAAAACAGTAATCTCTAATTGAAATAAATATACCCGTAAGACATCATTAACTTATCTGTACGTCTTAACATAGTAACTCTGTTTTTACTTTCATGTTTAATATTTCATTTATTATTCATATCTTTTTAATGAAGCCTTTCTGGTCTTACGTGTATACAAAGTGGACCAATCAAAGACTTAGATTAATTTTTATGCAAAGTAGTATGGAATAGAGTAATATGAAACTACATACGTACTTTTATTAAACTTCTCAGTTTTTTCGGAATTACATAAGACATTTTTAACAGCTTCAGTATTAACAAAATTCTCCGAATTGCACGATGAACGTCGCTATCGCAAGGCGGCGAATCTTTCATGGAATTCGCGAAATTTTATCATAAATGTCGCGAGACTAGAGATAGTTCCATGAAGCGTCGGACGGAAAATTCGGGTAACATGCATTTCCTTTTCCCCGGGGCAATGGGTTTCCTTCGTGAAGACTTCTGCGATTTTGGCGGATGCATTTATTTTTTTCCTCGAGCATTCCGCGGCAGCCTGCCCTAATTTACGGTGTGTAATTCGACAAACGATCCTGCGGCGCAAGAAACACTCATTTTTCAGTGAAAACGACCGGCGTTCTGAGAGAAAAAGTAGCTATCCGTAAGCTACGAAATGGCGACGAGTTGCTTCCGTTGCAAATGTATTGGCAACAAGAGCAGCACGCTTTTTCCACCGACTGTTAACTGAATCTATTTGAATTTCATTTGTTTGGAATAATTCATTAACCTGACGTAAACAATTATTCTGAAGAGATCAGATCTGAATACACGGATTTTAATTTACTATCGATTAATGGGAATAATATACTATCGTAATGTAAGCAATATCATGGAAAGGTCCGCTCAAATTTCTAGATTCTATTAGGTGTACCAATAAGCAATCCACCATTTTGTTTCAATAAAATTATAATAAAATTTGAATTCAGAACATATTCCAGCCCATTTTTCGTAAAAATTACAACTTCACTGTCTGTATATTAACTACCTCTCTCCCTGGGTTTTTGACTATCGAAGATCTCAATCAGAAGTGTTTTCATACAAATAAGAAAATGTGTTACTGTCTTAGTTAAACATTAAGTACATCACGTTAACCTACATTAATATTGCAATAATGTATGCGTCCGATACACTTTCGAGACCGTTGTAACACAAGTGTAAGAGATTGGATAATTATAATCTTACCAAATCAGTCTTAACACTTTAGTATTACTTTTATATCATTGTACCACTTCAGTGTAACATGTGTATATTTTACTTTTTAAAAATTTTAATTATAGACTTTCGAATAATTTCGTGATTCACGATATGTGGCTACACATTCTTATCTCTGTGGCGCAATTATATTCTGGAATTATAAAGAAAACTTCAAATTAATCATATCGATGTTATTTGTGGTCTGCTCGTAAACACATTTTTCAAATTTTTTATGCAACACAAAACCGAACTCAAAATCTGCGGAGAATACAATTTGCAGTTCTTTTCTGTGTTTGTCGCTTCTTGCGTTTACTCGTTTCCCTGCATCTTTACATTGTCTGTATGCATATTTTTTGGTTGTTCTTATTCTCTTGGGACATACGTACATCTTTTCTCTGTTGCCAACTTCTTGGCGTTTTGCATTTGATGTATCTTTCAATACGTG